AACTGAATGGGTCATAAGGATTTGTTATGCACCATATGCTTAACGGAATTATCTAAATTGCTCAAGATATACCTTCATGTCATTTTTTTGCATGGAAAGCTTAGCCAATGTATATATTGTTGCTCAATTGCTATATACCTTTTTTGTCTCGATTTATATTCCCAATTCAGCTATTTACTTTACTTCGAAGGAAAACACATTTTATGTACCTTACTTGGGTCTACTCGAAGGCCTTCTCGAGAAACCACATAACCAAGAAACTGAATTGAAGCAGTGAGAAAGGCACACTTTGTAGGGGCAGCATAAAACTTGTCACGACGTAAAACCAGCAAAACTTCACGCAAATGGGTAAGGTGTATCTCAGCATTGTCACTATAGATTAAGATGTCATCGAAATAAACGACGACAAACTGACAATTGAAAGGGCGAAGAGCTTGGTTCATCACTCGCATAAAAGTGCAGGAGCATTGGACAGGCCGAAAGGCATAACAAGCCACTCATATAAACCTTCACGCGTTTTAAAAGCAGTTTTCCACTCGTCCCCCGGACGAATGCGAATCTGGTGGTAACCACTTTTCAAATCCAGTTTGCTAAACACTGTAGCACCTCCCAATTGATCAAGCAAGTCATCTAACCGTGGAATAGGGAACCGGTAGCGCACTGTGATCTTGTTGATGGCACGACTGTCAACACACATACGCCATGAACCATCCTTTTTGGGTGTGAGGAGGGTAGGGACGGCGCAAGGACTAAGACTTTCTCGAATATGGCCGATGTCAATCAGTTCCTCAACTTGACGACGCAATTCTTCATGTTCTTTAGGGCTCATACGATAATGAGGGCGATTAGGAAGAATGGCCCCTGGAACGAAGTCGATGTGATGTTGTATATCACGTAATGGGGGTAGTGCCGAAGGTAATGACTCAGGGAAGACATCGCCAAACTCGGTAAGAAGAGGCTGTACCTGAGGCGTAACAGCAAGGGAGGTGTTATCGGTGACCAGAGAACAGAATAGCACGAATACAACCCCAGATTCTTGCACAGCAGCCTGAAAAGGACCCCGAGATAGAAGAGTCGTGGGGGAAGGAGTATGTGGCGTGGGGCCAGCAACCCCTTTAGGTTTAGTAGGCACCAATACAATTTTCGTACCACGAAAGGTGAAAGAATAGGTATTAGCACGACCATCATGGTGAACCGAATTATCATATTGCCATGGGCGTCCAAGCAAAAGATGACATGCGTCCATAGGAACCACATCACAATATATAGCATCACGGTATGTAGACCCAATGGAGAAGTTCACAAGGACACGTCTAGAAATAGTAACATCCGTGCCTTGACTAAGCCATGCGAGACGATAAGGTTTAGGGTGTGGTTCAGTAACGAGGTTGAGCTTGGTTACTGCAATTTCTGTTATAACATTCTCACAACTGCCAGCATCAATAATGAATGTGCAGACTTTACCTCCTATGGTGCAAGTGGAGTGAAAGAGATTGTGGCGTAGCCACTCGGTATCCGGCACGCGAGGGGACAAGCAAGATCGCCTAAGGACCAACAGAGGGCCAACATCACCGGAGACGTACTCCTCTGCTGCAGTGTCATCATAATCATCATAAGTTGGAGGTGCCTCGGCCAGAAGGACATGTTCAGGGTCTATGGCGTCAGTAAACAGGCCACGAGTGGCAGATTTCGGGTTACAACAATCTGCAATGCGATGGCCAACTTCGCCACAATTGAAACACCGTAAACCCCTCGGGCGTCCTTGAGCAGGAGCACGATTAAGCGAAGGGGTAGGCTGGACAGTATCATTGCGAAATGGTTGCGGGGGAACCAGCGTACTGGTTGAAACATCGGGTTGTCGGTACGCACCAGTACCACGCCTTGCTAGCTGCTTCTCAGCTTGTGAGGCACGTTGTTGTGCTTCGGCGACCGTGACAGGGTCAAACATATTCAACACATCCTGCAATTGGAGGCGCAAACCACCTATGTAACGTGAAACCAACTACTGAGGGGTTTCATTTAGATCAACACGAGCCAGATAAGTATAGAATTCGGTGGAATAGTCTTCCACAGAACGGGGGCCCTGACGAAGATTCTGGAACTTGGTGTAAAGCTCCCTGTCAAAATTATAGGGCAAAAACGCAGTCCGAATATGTTTCTTGAACTTAACCCAACTCACAAGCTTCTCCTTATCATGACGAGCACGCGTCTGTTTCAGTTGTTGCCACCAGGCTTTCGCACGACCATGCAAGCGGATTGTGATGAGGGAAACACGACGATCGTCAGGAACTTCCTTAAACTCCAGAATTTCTTCCACTTGGGATAACCAATCCACAAACTCTTCCGGCTTGAGACTGCCATCGAAAGCAGAGATTTCCACCCGAAAACCCTGTTCCCATCGCTAGCTATGGCGTGTTGGCGAACGATCTCGAGAACCGGCAAAGAATGGATTCTCCTCCGTCACAGTGACCTCGTCGTCATCACGACGGCGCATATGCACGTACGCATCCATGCGTTGCGTCAACAAGTCAATCTGCCGCCTCAAGTCGTCGTTGTCACGGCGAAAATCTGCGTTTTCACGACGAAGCTCATCAATATCAGCAACTTCAACACGTCTGCGGGGCGGCATCGTTCAGGACCGACTGGAATTTGATACCAACTGATGCAGCGGTACGTAATAGGAAGAAAAGTTCAATCAAGATTCGTTGATTCTACCGAAGAATACCGAAAATTGATACCTATTGAGGAAGCCTCGTTTTTTTATTCATCAAAAATCTCTCCCGACTAGGACAAAGAATCGTGTTTAAAAACTAAAAAAAAACCTAGCTTGCAGGGGAAGGAAACAACTAACAACAAACGCAGAAAACAAAATTATTGAAAATTACAAATGGACCCAAAACTTATGGAAACTTCTTCGCGCTTTGCAAACCAGTCCAAGAACTATCAGCCGCATCACCGGCCCTGCCCATCAGTCCAGCCCCTCCCATCCCCATCCCCATCCCCCACCATTAGCCCAGGCACAAACCCAGCCCCCAAACCCCTTCTCCAACCCCTCCCCAACCTCTCCATCAGTCCAGCCCCCGCCCACCGCCGCCTCAGCGGTGACTGCTACAAAACTAATATCCCTGCCTTTGTCCCAAATCCCGCCTCGTGAGAAACCTTGGCCTACGCAATCCCCGATGCCATCTTACCCCCGATCTGGAGTGGGAAACCCTAGTCTCTTTAAATCTGGATTCCAACACAGTGAAGAAAACATGTCGTCACTGATTGTCATCACCGCCTTTTGCCGACAGTGAAATCCTCATCGCCGTCATCATCAACTGAATTCGCCGTCCATCGTTCGTCTTCCATCAACTGACGAAGTCACTGGCCGACTCCCTTGGTGGAGTGAAACAACGGTGAATGTTTGAGAAGAAGAGAGGCGACGATGAAGAAGTTACGGATGGGAGGCGGCGGCGAACGCACAAGACATGTATGCAGAGAGAAGCTGGTTGCGGCTGATCGGGAGATCCGGAGAGTGTAGGGGTTTTTAATTGCAGGGGTATTTCGGCCCATTCAGATAAATTTGGTCTCTTTACTGTCCATATTAAAATTAGGTCCCGTTTTTGTCTATTCCAATATTATATTCTAACATTCATATTTGAATATATCATTACTTATTTTTCATAATTATATTATATATTATACATAGTGTATATATAATGCTTAAATTGTAGTTTTAATAAGAATTTAAAATAATTGAATAATCAAATATCGTAGAGTCGCGTTTCTTTCTTATTATTGCTACATATTTTCACCGTGAAAATCAATAGACATTATGCGATCTCGAAATTATGTGAGAAATCTAGATTAAGAAACATATGATTTACAAACAATAAGAATTAATTACTAGAAGACTAAAGTCCAACCGCTACTTCCTTGCCAGCGGCTGGTCAAGCTGGATTATGTTTCCTTCCGGTTTGTTTTTCAGTTCAGAACATTGCTTTGTTTTTTATTTCCCCTTCTAGTAGCAGGTGCAACATTGCTGCATATGGAGTCTACCATGTTGCGGGGTTAGCGAGATGGTCCGCTTGTATGCGTGAATCCAGCTCAGAGTCTCACCCCAGTGTAGCCTTCGTTATGGCAACTTTGTATCTGGTTCTCGGTTTTATTAAATATTAAGTTATCTGTGTTAAAAAAAAAGTCCAAGAAGCAGAAACCCAAAAAAAATCTCTAATTTTAGAACTTAGAATTATATGATATTTAATAGTGTAAATTATATATGACTTGGACTGACATGTTACATGCCTAATTAACAACCTAACATCTGTATTTATTATTGCTACAATGCTACCCTATATATACATGTAGACATACACACACATATAGTGTAAATACATGTGATAAATGTGTTACTATACTTTGTGTGTTTGTCAATATAAATGATTTATGTTTAGTATAAAAAGTGAATACTAATTTCTAAATGATAGTGAAAGTTGTAATCACATGTGACTAATGTGTAAATGATTATTGTTTGCTCTTAAAAATGTTATATGTTTGGTGTTTTTTGTGTTATAACTAATGTAAGATACATATGAAAAATGTGTAATGTGATACTCTCCGGTTCTAAATAAATTTCATAGTTTGACTTTCTGGTTTTTAAAAAAGTGAAATTTTTACTTTTGACTTTCCCATCATGCCCCTAGAAAAAGTTGATAAAGTGTAGAGAAAGTGAGTGTAAAGTAGGTATAAAGTAAGGGTATATTGATAACTTTATGTTAAAAACTTATCAAAAATAGAAATGTGAAGTTTATTTTGGATCTACCCCAAAAAGAAAATGTGAAATTTATTTAGGACCGAAGGGAGTATATCTTTATGTAAATAATACTCCGTAGAACACAGTAAATTTAGTTGAATTTAAAATGAAAATCACTTGAAAGAAATAAACATAAGTCAATACTCAAGTGAAAGTTGAAGAGCAATCAAATAAAAACTATATTTTTATAAACGAGAAAATTTAAGTTGTAAATTGATGAATAAGAGAAATTCTTGTATTGATTCATAGTTTAGATTGAATAGGGAGGAAGAAAACACATCTAAAATATTACAAGAGCAAATGAAAGTAAGTCTAACAATATGCTCATATGATGTTGTGCTGTAACCTAAAGTCATTGGTTCCTCTACCATTCTTATCCCAAACGGATATCGTTAATTCAACTCCACCACAAGCGTTACGCCATCCAATATCCCTGCCCGTGTCATCTTTACCTTCAAATTATGCACTGCGACAGTGTGTCTTTACCACAACTTCCGGCAATGAATTCACTTCCAAACTTACGCAATCTTTCGCACAAAATCTCCTTCGAACTCTGATCTCTGCAAACCCCCTGCCCACAATCCTTTAGCCTTGGCTGCATATGTCGTCGATGAAGCCACTCTTGTTATTTTTTTTTGGTAAAAAGCCACTCTTGTTATTGCCAAGGCACCCCCAACACAAGTCGCTACTTCTCTGACGGTATTAGGTTCCAGATTGAAAAGTAGTATTTGGAGGCATTTGGGACTATTCCTCATGCTTTCAATTTTAAATTGATTTCACATGAAGAAACAAAAAGAATTTACAAAATTAATGTATGCCCCAAAAAATACATATGATAATTCCTTTAGCCTTTAGGGTGGCATCTTGAAGTCATCCTTTATGGGCACAGTGGACTCGTATGTTTCTCCCATCCAAAAACTGCATGGAAGGCACAATACAACCAGTCAATCAAACAAAAAGAAATTGCTGATATGCAACAAAGCACTTTAAAACTAGTACTCCATATAATGCTACAAAGACACCTCTTTAGCAACAACAGGTATTAAAGTAAAGTGACAACTCTGGTACCTATATAAAAAATGGGGTACCGTACCTACCATTTACTTAATTGGTCCAAATCATTATATCATTTTTAATTTAGATTTAAATAATTCAACTGCAATATTCTGATTGGTCCATGTAGACGAAGGTATGGTACCTTATGGCCTTATGGGTACCATGGTACCTTATGGGTACCATGGTACCTTATGGGTACCATAGAATCTACCTTAAAGTAATCCATGTCTCTGTATATACACACGTTTAGCAACTCGTATGTTTAAGTATTATATATTATTATTTCTTCAAGGATAGCAATATGCAGTTTCGAATAGTTCTTTTCCTTCTTAGCAAATCTCAATGGCAAAATTTTTACCTTCTTAACTCTGGGTCAAATTAAGTTGCGCAATAAAATAGGGAGAAATGGAGATCATTTTTCATAAAAGTGCACTAACTTTTACATCAACATTTTTTTATGATACTCTGACCCCCAGATAGGGCAACAATGTATTTGTGTATGTGTGCGCTAACAGAAAAATGGTTTTGGTGTCAAAACTGGCGTTGAAGTACCTGGCCATTCATTTCCTTCAATGCCTCATTTGCTGCAGTTTCTGACTCAAATTTCACAAACCCATAGCCCTTCGACTTGCCACTTCTATGGTCACATATTACCTTCACTAAAACACAAAGAATATGTTGTCTTTATCAGATGAAGCTAAATGCAGAAACTAAGAAAGATCACTAGTTTACTGTACAATGCTGCTACCTTCAATCAATTCACCATGCTTCTTAAAAGCTTCATTCAAAATAGTTTCATTTGTATCGTATGAAAGGCCTGAAACATGGGTTTGAAATATATTAAGAGCAGGCATAGATAGCTTTCAAATTATTGGAAAGATAAATTAAGAAAGGTATACTTTGAAGTGCAAAAAGATTATAACTTCAGGCTTTCAGAGCCAATTTCTGTTTACATATGATGCAAATGATTATTCATGAAGACTGCTCAAATTACACCATTAAAAGTCATGACTTCCTACTTGTATTTTTGTTCGCTTTAACTAAATTTATTAGCTAGAACTTGTTTGCATTTGAATCTTTTTGGAAAATTACATCATCCAGCGACACAAACAACTTTGTACAAGAACTCAAATCCAACCCAAAAGACCTCCCAGTCCCATAAATAACAATAGAGAAACCTCCAATGAACAGATTACGGCAAGCGCTGCTTGATGACATTTGCCTTCTAGTTAATATTGTTGTTGCTGCAGAGTAGTAGTTGTAGACAATAAAAGCCGTTTGGCATCCCATTTAGGGGAGAATAGTTTTTATTGCAGATGGCGTCAAATCCCCTGCAGAAAAGAAAAATGTACTCAGTCATATTTAAGAATAGGCTTAAATATGCATTACTTTTTTTTAGTCCATCACTAACTCCAAAACCACTCTATTTAGAAAAACATTATTGCTATACACCTAAATCTACTAGAAACATTTGAATTATCCTTTTATAAATTTTTTGAGGCAAATATGAGAATTAAAACAATAAAAAACTAATAATTCACATTTTAAAAATATGTATTAAAAAAATTCTAAAATATAAAATTAAATACTTTTTGAATAAATGGAAAAGAATTAGTGGAGTCCTATTAGTTGAAGTTATTTTGAGGTCAAGTTATTATCGTTAGTGTTGGACTAAAAGAAAAACCAACGTAAATTTCAGAAAAACAAAAAAATAATTTTGCTATAAAACAAAATGTACTATATTTAAAGTGACTAAAAACATATTCTTTAACAATATTATCTTGATCTTTGGGGTGTTTTTGCTGTAAATATAACGGAAACACTTGAAACGTATCATTATGCGATTTCAGAAAGAAATTTATACATGAACCGATATCCCAATGCTCAGACAGTAACGTTTGAGATTCCTAAGATGCCAAATGACATATTCTAAGAGAGAAGTCAGAGAACCATACGAACATACGATAGGGCACTCAGCTCAGCGCTTCAGCGGTGGCAGCGGTGGCAGCGATTCCAGTCTCCGGCGGGAAGAGGGTAGCGATCGACGCGTCGTCGTCCGTTGGCGCTTGTCGCTTGAACTCCTTGAAGCTTGCAGCGGTGTAGAGCTGGGCCTGGGCTGGCAGCTGCTAATACAACTATCAAAAAACATTGGGCCTTCAAAAATTGGGTGAGCCTTGCTGGGCCGACACTGAAGATACTAGGGATGGGTAGGCCTGTTTTTCTCTGCTTCTTCGGACCGCAAATGGTTTAGGCCCAAAAGAGAGCCGGAACTTTAAAACTTAAAAGTCGGTATTAGTAGGTCTGGGATCGGTTCGGTTCCGGTTAAAATTCGATGGAACCGTATTAAAAATAATAGGCGTTAAATTCGGTTCGATTCTAGTTAAAAATGTAGTTGTTAAATTCGGTTCGGTTCTAAATAAATTCGGTTCGGTTCTTACCTTGTTGGTTCCTTATAAAAATTTATTATCCTTCTAAAGTGAACACATTTTACCTTCCGTTACGTAAAAAAATCAAATTTCAAATAATGAAATTATGACCATTACATTACACATACTCGATATCCCAATGTTCAAATATCACAAAAAGTTCAAGTGCAAACATTAAATTTAAACATAAAGGTTTTGGAAAAGGTTGATTACGAAGCAATTATTGAAGATTTTGCTTCACAATGTTCGGCGAGAAACGTTTTTAAGTAATATTTTTCTTTCTATGTGACTATGTGATACTTATTACTTTTCGTCAAACATGTTATTTAAATATTAATAAAGTGAATTTGGTCTTTATTTTTTACTTTTGTTCAATAATTCGGAAATTATTGTGTTATACTCTATGTTTGTCTTAAATTTAGGCCCAAGATAGTATCTCGCTCATAGGCCTGAAAACCGACAAGACCGGCCCTGATATCAATTTAACAAAGACAATAAAAATGCATCATATAAAAAAACATTCTTTTATATACAAATTGCTATTGGGAGAATAAATCATAAATCAAAAGAAATTTCATTAGATTCATCATTTAAAGCTAATAGAGTAATAGATTGAGATTGATTTACTGACCACTTATAGATTGTTTGAAACCTTGAAAGTTGGAAGAAGGTGTTCTAGACTTCTAGTCTTCTAATCACCGACCGCCGTTTGAGCTTCCTTCTTCACAATTCACAAATCACAATTCAGAGACAGCTTTGCAAAATTGAAGACTTGCAGCGCTCTCAGTTGCTTGGGCAAGACGGCCGGTCGCAGTCGGCCAAGAAGGAGAAACGGACAAACTCTAACCTTCGCCTAATTGATTTTGGAATTTGCAAAATCGGAAACAAGAAAACCACGAGTTGAATTGTATTCAGTCATTCGGCTTATTGGGATTTTGGGATGGGAGTGGTTTGGGCCGTTTGTTGGGTACTTGGGGTTTTTTGTGGAAGGCCGTTTGTTGGTTTAGGAGTTGGGGAATGTAATTTGGGATAATGGCCTAATGGAATATTGGAGATTGGGTGGGACACGGCCTTTTTACATGTCTTTTATAATTTTTTTTTAAGTTTTCTTTTATAATTTTGAAATTATGAACAAAACTAAAACTTGTGCCTAATTAATTTTAAAATACAAAAATGATTATTAAAAAAAATTTTAAAAAAAATCTAAAAAAGAAGCCTACTCACACTATGTAAGAAAAAATTATGGGCCTATTTTTTTTGCTATTTTTTCGGGCCTAGGGCGGTCGCCCCTGTTGCCCCCCCCCCCCCCCCCCCCGGACCGGCCCTGGTGGTAAAATAGGTGCCCCTACTTCCGGCCAAAAAATTCACTACTACTACTTCAGGTAAAATTAGTGCACCAACCCATACAAAAAAATTATTAGTATTAGACAATGAAGATACTAAAATGTTACGGTTACATAAATTATCAGTTAATACACAATTGCAATTAGTTGTTGTGGCCAATTGTTTTGAATGAATTACGGTTGAGCTTAATGGATTGAAGACTCTAATCTTGAATGAAAATCCACATGCAAAGTATATTCATTGTTTTGCTCACCAATTGCAATTAGTTGTTGTGTCTGTTACACAAAAAAATAAGTTTGTGAGTGACTTTTTTGAATATTTGTCCATGGTTACTAACATGGTAGGATCTTCTTGTAAAAGAAAGGACGAGTTTCGGCAAAAACAACATGAAACCATGGTAGAGATGGTAGAAATGGGTGAACTTACAACTGGAAGAGGATTGAATCAAGAAAGTAGTTTAGCTAGGCCGGGAGCTACACGCTGGGGTTCACATCATACAACCATTATTCGTATTTTTTCTATGTGGTCTCCTACCATTCAAGTTTTTGATAATATATTTGATGATGGAACTGATCTAAAATCGGGATGCACTGCTAGTAACTTGGTAGAAAAGATGGAGATTTATCAATTTGTTTTTATTGCTCACCTCATGAAAAAAGTATTGGGGATGACGAATATATTGTCACATTTCTTGCAACAAAAAGATCAAAACATTCTCGAGGTTGTGAGCTTAGTTAAAAGCACTAAAGCTAAATTTCATGATTTGAGAGAAAGTGGATGGGATGATCTCTTGGAAGATGTCAATAGCTTTTGTGGCAACAAAATTGACATTCTTAAAATGGAAGAGACGAATCATCGTTCTAGACGAGTTCGTCACCCGATAACAAATTATCATCACTTTAAAGTTGCTATATTTTGCCAGGTGCTTATTATTATTATTATTGTTGTTAGTATTATTATTATTATTATTATTATTACCCAATACTTATTTTTGCTTTGACATTATTATTATTACTATTTTTTCATTATAGGTGATTGATCAGATAAGTCTTGAGATGGAGAGCCGTTTTAGTTAGTCAAACACAGAATTACTCACTTGTTTAGCATGTCTTGATCCTAGAGATAAGTTCTCCAATTTCTGTGAGTCAAAGCTACTGAACCTCGCGGAATTATATTCATGCGATTTTTCATCTGTTGATCGAATGGAGCTGAAAGAGCAACTCCAGGTGTGGATATATGAAATGAGAACAAATGAATTATTTTCTGTCATACAGACTATTGGTGAAGTTTGCAAAAAGATGGTTGAGCTTAAAGTTCACAATTCTTTTCACTTGGTATATCGTCTGATGGAGTTGGCTTTAGTATTACCAGTTGCAACAGCCACCGTTGAAAGAGTCTTCTCTGTGATGAATATTATCATGACAGATCTTCGCAATAAGATGGAAGATGATTATCTTACGGATTGCTTGGTGTGTTACATCGAGAGAGATGTTTTTAGGAGTATTGATAATGAAACTATTATGCAACATTTTCAAAATATGAAAACTTATAGGCTTTTTTAACCAAAGTTGCAGAAATGAACTATTTAATATGTAATTAACTACTTTGTATAATTTATGATATTGCCTTACTTTTTACCATCTGTAACGCCCGTCTCAGGGTTAAAGGAAACGTTACACTAACTTACTACTTTTAAAATAAACTGTAATATAACGGCCGTTTGTTTAATAAGTAACCCTGATAAAACTCAATTGTAACTAAAAAAAATAACTCCAAATAAAAACATAATAAAATCTAGTTATCACAAAAGAATGTGATAATCATCTGGATCTAGGAATTTATTCAAACATCAAATCCTTAAATAAAATAAAATAATACTACCTCCGTCCCACTAACATTGGGACGGAAGAAGGTGGCACGGTTATTAAGAAAAGTGAGTTTATGTGGTTGCTATTGAATTGAAAAAGTAAAAATAAAGTAAGAATGATTTCGAGCCACACAAACTTTACCAAATTTGGTATGAGACAATCTTAGTGGGACTTCCCGAAAAGGTAAAATGGAACAATCTTAGCGGGTCGGAGGGAGTATTAATCTCTTTAGTATAACACTTAAATACTGAAAACAAAATAATATCTAGCTAGAAGCCGCCAAGGTCGTTCCCGTTAACTCATCTTGGCACGCGTTCCACTCTCTCATCATCTTCCTCGACCTGGGCCTTACCCTTAGCTTTAGTATCTGTACATGCGAAGAAAGAAAACTGATAAGCTTTACGCTTAGTAAGTCACTATGGATCCACAGAAATATGTAGAAGTCTATGCCAATTTATCAATAGATAAATTTAGGCTATAAGCATGCACTGAACATATAACTAACTTATAACTTCTCAAATACATTCTGAGGGAGATCTCAAAACAAGAATATTTTCTAAAATAATTTCTCAGTACTACTGGAGAGATCTCAAAATTTCTTTCTCAAAACATCTCTGTAAAACTTTCTGAAAGAGATCTCAAAAACAACTTTCTGTAAAACTTTCTGAAAGAGATCTCAAAAACAACTTTCTGTAAAACTTTCTGAAAGAGATCTCATTAAACTTTCTGTAATACTCTTTGTGGCTAATTTTACTCTGTGGGCCCGTGATATGTACTCAAAGGTGCCAATCCGACAGCTCAGGGGAGCGACCCACTAAACATATCGGACTCTCTGAAACTGATAACTCTGTAACTCTGTGGGAACTTGTTCCCGAGTACATATCACTTAATCTTTCACTTTAAGTATTAGTTCTTTTTACGGTGACGTTTGATTAAAACATCATTAAATCTGAAAATCAAAGCACAGACAAAATATTGACTATGCCAGATAATAAACATAACTTAATACATCAAATAAAATAACTCATCACACAATTCACCTAGTTCACATAATAGCAAATAGTCTAAAATCATCTATCAAAAATCAACCAGACTTCTTTCTTTCATTTGGTTGAACAAACATGTACAGGTGGTAGTGAACTTACCCGTTAACAGCTGAACTCAAAATACTCAAATAAGTGTGGCACCTTGATAACGTCTCCCGGTAAGCTCTTCTCTTTAATCTTTATTTAAATGAATTGCAAATTAGAAATTTCCCTATTTTAATCATTACCCAAAATAATAATAATAAGTCCTCTGGTTTGAAAATACCCGTAGGAGAGAATCTGATATTCTTCCTGGGAGTTTTTGCTTTAAACATTTGTTTTGACCAAAAATTAAACTAATCTAAAGTATATAATTAAAATGGGAATCAAGCAATGAAGAACCAAATATGGACTGAATTGATAAAGATAATACGAAGAATATAAATGGAGAATAATTATGCTTGAATACTGAAGTTTACAGAGTAGTTGAATTCGAGTGTATGTGTTGGTAATTGATCGTATATGGATGTATGAATATATCCCCTTTACATTGCTTTCTAATCTATTTAATGGGATAAGGCTTCCCCTTCCGCAAGACAAGCCACGTGCACCGAGTTTCTTGCTCTTCTCCAACCACTTTGACTTGCACGTTAGCTTCCTTGGTCTTATCCTTCATATTTATTGACTTAAATAATTACAAGTCTGATTCATCCTAAAAGACCTTGGGCTGACCTCCGATTTCAATTAAATCTTTGGCCCAATTGACAAGGTGAACTTTTGGGCCCAACAACATTCTGAAGCTAAAACTTTAAGTGATAGAATTTTACTACTCGTAGAATTAGAATTTTGAAGCAGGAATGAAGTTGGCTGGGAACTAAGCGCATGAACTGAAAACAAATACAAAAATCCAGACTGGAGTGCTGCTCAAATATTTCTTTTCTTTTATCTAGCTTCTACGGATAACTAAAAGAAAATATAAATTTTAAAACTTGGAAACCTTTATGCAGCAACCCCTTTTTAAAATTAAATTTCAAATACACTCTTCTGCATCTTTTGGCTTACGAAAGTGTAAGTCAGAACTAAGATTTATTGAAGGCTTATTAATTTTAACTAAAATTTACGGATTACACTTTGAGGAAGGGAAATAGTTATCCTTGATGACAAACAGAAGCTGATTAAACCTTATAATTTCAGGACCATAGAAAGTTAAGAAAATCCCAACTCCAATAACAATCTTAGCAAGAACTGGAAGCAACATGCATGAACATAGAAGAAGCTATTGTCCCATTTAAAACTTCAATCATAAAGAAAGAAACTGCCCATGATTTAAAATAGATAAAACCCAGCCTCCCAAAAGCAATCTGACCTGACCGTACTAAAAGAAAAACATAACTATCCAACCCAATTCCAGTAATACGAGTTAAGGAGCGAAATTTAACATAGTGGGAAAAGAATTCAGATTACCTTGTTAAAAGATGCACGAATGATAGGATTAAAGCTTTGGCCAACAATTGAAGAGTTGGAGAGAAATTTTCAGGGTGACTCGATAAGAAAATTTTCAGGCTACTAAAGGAGAGAGCCGATTGAGGGTTTAGGAGAGTCTAAATTTTTGGTTCAAGGAATGACAGATTACCATGAGAATGTTAGATTACTGGGTATGTTAGATAGATGGGAATGTGATTAATGTATGTCTCATTTGTGTTTGGTTACGATTAAGGGAATGTCACATTAAGTTGTTTGGTTGAATGA